CTTGCTGAGCCCCTCTGCCCCTGCTAATAGTTCTCACATTTTGCTTTGCAGCTGGAGTTCACCCTCTTTTGTGCTCCACTAGGGGCTTTCCTTAATTTTCTCAGCCTGCTGTGGGGGGCTGGCACCCTGGAGAGGCTGCCAGCTTGTCTGCCACCGCGTTCGGGACGTTTGGACTTGGTGTTTAATATCTGTGTCTCTGTTTCTCTCCCGTCTCCCTCCTGTTTCTCCACTCTCCTTTGCCTTACCCTCCCTTCCCCCCAGCCTGTCTCGCTGCTTGAGAAAGCCGCCCCCCAGTGGTGCCAAGGCAAACTGCAAGCTCATCTCGTAGCTCAAACTAACCTGCTCCGAAATCAGGTGACACTGGCTTCTAACCTTGCACGTGCTGGCGCCTTCTGGTCTGCTGTCCTGTCCTTGGTGCTGGGCGTCTGTCTGCCCAACTGCCCTGCACTGCCCTCGGTGGGGAGGGCTTGGCCCTTTTCCTGGATTGGGAGGCAGGGTTGGTTTCAAATGCCTCTGCTGGGAGAGCTCCTGCTTCAGCTGCGACCTGCAGTGATGTGGGAAGGAATAGAGGCTGCAGGCTCTGGTTGACTGGGCCCAGGTCTGTTGCTCAGCACCCAGGTCCCTGGTAGTGCTGAGACTCTCTGAAATCCTACCCTCCAGGAGCCCAGGAAAGCCTTGGAGCCATCCGTCCTCTGTGAGGGCTCCTGCAGGGAGGGACATGATGTCACTAGGGCTTCTGTCTGGACATGTATTGTTCTTCAAGCCTCATAAGAACTGTGAGGTGATCTTGAATTTACTGAGTAGACAAAGCTACAGAGAGGCAGTCTTACTGAGCCTCTTACTGGCTGAGTTGGGGCTCACCTGATTCAAGGCCTGGGCCATTCTTTTAGCTCCCTGGCCTGGGGCTCCATGTGGGTGGTCTTGCCACAGTTGGCCAGACTCATGGGAACCCTTGGGACCCCTCGTGGGCCCCCATAACGCCTCTGGAGGAGATACCAGAGTGCTTTTCAGTATGGCTGGGATGCTGAGACCTGGGATTGGCTCTTTGGGATTTTCACAGAGGACAGTCTGCACCATAGTGGTCCTGGAGGAGGCTATTGGTACAAAATTCCTGAATGATACTACTACCCTGGCAGTACTCTTCTCAGCCTCCTGCTCTCGGAATGGACCCAGTGTGGCCAGGGGCCACTGGGTGTAGTGCCCTGGGAGAGGTGGCCTTGTGGTTTTCTCTCCAGTAAAACTGACGTGACTTCAGCACTCCTTTTATAGTCCTGGGCTGGGGGCAAGCAATAAGCCTGACCTGGGAGGTTGGGTTTCTCTTTGGGAAGCTGCCCCATTTTTTCTGGCCACTCTCTGATTTCTTCATTTTCAACCCACATGTATTGAATATTGTGATGTGGAGACCTCTGGGCTCAGCATAGGCTCATAGTTTAATTTTTTACCTGACCTACCTGATTTCTTTTAGGGCAAAGCTGTGGGCTGATTTTGGAGGGCAGAGTGACCCCAAATCTCCAGAGTCTTGGGGAAATGGTTAAGGGAGTCTTTGATAGGCCAGTGTCTCCTCTGCCACAGGAGGTGCGGGAAGAGTGAGGGGCTGGATTGGGCCTTTTCTGCCTATAAAATTCAAGACTTCTGGCTGGAGGGAGAATGGAGCCACTGTCCCAGAGCCAGGGTTTCTGCATAATTTTTCTGAAATGGGTTTGGCAGGAGGCCAGGTGACCATTTTTGTTGTGTGGGAGAAGCCCCTGAGAGTGTGGGGCCAGGGTGAGGCACGTGGCTGCATTTGGGCTCCTGGAATGGGTATGTTTGGGGATCCTGTTGGGAGGGCTCCACACCCCGACCCTTGGGGGGAGCAGCAGGGGAGGCCAGAGCATGTGATCCCATCTTTGGATGCTGGACTATAGATATTTCGCCTTTCAGCCAAATTGGCTTTCCCATTTGGATCCAGTGTTTATTTGAGCATATCCTTCTTCTGCCTCCACCCTGCCTCGTGCCTGGCTGGAAGGGAGGGAGGCTTGAGGCTTCCTGTGGGCAACTGGCTGGCTGTGAGCTGGGCACTTAGGGCCCACGGCTGCCCTCCTGGCTGACTTGACTTTGGGGAGACTGTGATCTCTCGAGCTGACCAGCTCCAGGTGTCCCTTAGGCTAATTTTGAGCTCTTCACACTTACCATAGTCTCCAAAAACCTGCCTGCAGGACCCCGGTGCCCTACTGCATGGTGAGTGGGCCGATTTTGGGTCTGCCGCCCATGTCTGTCTGTCACCATGTAGTAGAGCTACCGGGACTACAAGTCCTTTCCCACAGTGGGTGGCCCTGCCGCCCTTCCTGCCACCCCAGTGCTTCTGAAGGGTCCAGGATATGAGAATACAATCCAAAGGGAATAAAAGACTCAGGTCCTGACCTTTGGGAGCTCTAAAATAGAGCCACCCTTTTCTTTGCATTATTGCTGGGACGTGGGAAAAAGGCCTGGCACACAGTTACGAGATGCTGTGCCACTGTCACGATTGTTTATTGAGGAGTTAGGAGCAGCGTTGTGAAGCTGAATATTTGTGCAGAGGTGGTCTCTGCAGGCACAGGGCTGGGGTGGTCAAGGTGGGCTCCTGGGGAACATGGGACTTGGGTCAGACTCTTGGTAGTAGATGGGAGGTGTGCATGACAGTGAGAGGTGCTCATGGCCAGATGTGGAAGTCACTCATCTTGTGCTCACAAACCGTCATCAGTAGCCTCCAGTCAGGCATAGGGGTGCCCTGAGGTGTAAGGCAGGCATGGCCTAGCCCATAGCCTGGAGGGCCCAGCAGTTATGATCCATCCTGGAGCAGCTGAAGCACGCATGCTTAGAGAGTGATTTCTTTTTCCCCCTTGTTCTACCTTTAATTTTTAAATTAGATCTTTAGAAGTTAGATAAAGAGCTCAAGCTCACCCTAGCAAGTTCCAACAACCTGAAGGTAATTGGAGTCAGAAGAGGTGGTAGCCTCTCTTTCCTCTGGCTCCACCCCAAAGTCACCAGGCTCAGCTCTGGAGATAGGGCTTGTCCTGCCTGGTGCCTGAAGCTGATGGAACAGCTTGGTGGGCTTGGGGAAATCTCGTGCTTTCTGGCAATTTGGCGTTCAGGTCAATTGGCTGCCTTTGCCAGAAGGCCTGAGGATTTGAGGCTGCTGGCGGCAAGTTTTCTCGTGGGTGGGGCCTGCCACGTTCCCGGGCTGTGACTCAGACCCCGAATCCGAGTCACTGTTTCCAGCAGCGCCCTCCAGAATGAGCCAGCAGAGCCCCTTCTGGGGTCTTGTGACTCATCCCCACCCTCTTCTGGCTCTCTGCCTTCAGAGCAGGCCACCTGCTGCTCTATTTCCCTATACGCTGGCTCTTTGATGGGGACTTGGTGCCACCACCTGGTGGATGTAGCAGATGCAGGGAGCAGGTCTTGTCCAGGAGAAGGTGAAGGCCTTGGAAATGGACTCAGGCACCCTGCTCAGCTGCCCAGCTCCCTCCCACCCTGGCCCTGCCCTCCTCCTGACTGGACAGGTGACAGAAGCAGGGGGAGGGTAGAAAGACTCTCCTGGGGAAGTGAATACAGGCTGCTGGCTGAGACTGAGTAGGAGGCAACCTTGAGAAAGGGGGAAAGGAATACTCAGGAGGGGACACTAAGGCCTGGGAATTGGGCAGCGGGCTGACACCTAGCCTGAGAGAGGTTCGTGTGTAAGGGGACAGGGTCCTTCCTCACTTGGCTGGGTCTGGGTCTGCCTCTTCCCCCTTTCTGTGCCCCAGCACCCCAGGCCCTGTGTCTTGTACCTTCTTATTGTGCACCACTGATCCCATCTGCACAAGAGAGAGGGGTCCTCCTTTTTGCCAGGGATGCTCTGCCCTCCTCTTCCTGGAGCAGTCCCTGAGGTCCTGGCTACAGTGCTGTGAGGGGCTGCAAGCGGAGGTCCGCCACGACGTCCACATCGAGTTCCACCTCTATCTTGCCCAGAGTGCACTGGGGGGTACAGGTCATGGGGGCGGGCCTGGCCTGGCCTGGGCTGGCTAGGACACAGGCCCAGCAGAAAGAATGACAAGCCCTGCCCCTCAGGCCGAGGAGGAGCTCATCAAAGCCCAGAAGGTGTTTGAGGAGATGAATGTGGATCTGCAGGAGGAGCTGCCTTCCTTGTGGAACAGGTGAGGCCAGGAGGTGGGAGAAGAGCCTTGGCCTCCTTCAAGCTGCACAGCTGTGTCATGTGTGTCTGCCTGGGGTGCCCTGTGTCCTCTCAGGGTTGTGTCTCATGTGGGTCGAGGCATATCAGCGTGTATGTGGCTCTCTTGGGTTGCCCTGACCTGTGTGTTCATTTCTCCTTCCTTGCCTCCTGTAGCCGTGTAGGTTTCTATGTCAACACGTTTCAGAGCATTGCGGGCTTGGAGGAAAACTTCCACAAGGAGATGAGTAAGGTAGGTTCTGGTGACTCTGTGGGCTTTAGAGTCACTCTGCCCAAGGCCAGGGTCGGAGGCACAGAAGGGGTGGCCTGAGCTCCCTTTTCTCTGTTGAGGTTCTGCACACACTAGTGATCACAGAGTCTCCTCTGACCCTGGAGAGGAGCTGCCTAGACCCAGCTCCCAAAGAGCTCCCCATCCAGAGGGTTCTACCCAGTGGAAGCTGCCGGGTGTGCCGGGTGCGCTGGGGAAGCCGTCAGTGGCGCTTGAAAGTCCAGCCCCACCTCCTTCCTTCTTCCAGTCCTACTTTTCTTGCCTGGACAGAGCCACCTCTTCTCAAACTATAAATGTGTTCTCAGGCAACTTCGGCCCAGAAAACGGTGGTGGCTTCTCAATTTGTAGGCAAATGATAAATGCATTGCTAGTGTTTTGTCAGTTTTTAATGTTCTTTCATGTGTGTTAAGACACTGAAACAGGTCTGCTTTATTTGCCAGAATCTGGTGTAAGAAGGGATGTGATTAGCTTAAATTCCTATGTTGTGTTATTTTCATCTTCATCTAGCTGGCAGTTAAACTGCAAAGCTGAGTTGGAGAAACCTAGTAGTGGCGGCTTCCTCCTTTGGTTCAGTGGGGTTGCCTGACTCTACCCCGTGGGCTAAGAGGAATGAGATGATGGTGGTGGATGCCAGGCTGAGGGCAGGGGGAGGAAAGGCAAGCCTGGGACCTCCACCACCCTGATTTCCTGCTTTTTGGGGTGTCCCTTTCCTTCTTTCTTTTCCTTCTTCCCTTTAGACATTTGAGATAACTTATAAAATTTTTAAAAACAGAGAGAGGTGACTTGGGGAAGAAAACATTTATGTAAAGCAGGAGGGAAATTCCTCTCTGGGCATCTTAGTGGCGAAAAGAGGGAAATATTCTCAGTAATGAGAATCACTATGTGCATAGGATAAACCTCTTCTCTTGCCTGCGCTTTTGGTGAACTCTCTGGCAGTTGTAGTGTGGCCTGAAAACATCTTAGCAAAATGACCTTAACAATTAGAATCAACAGTTAGTTTGCAAAAACAGTTAAAAAAAAAATTTAAGAACAGTACAAGCTCTGTGTATCATCTTAGGAAATCCTACAAGTAGAAAGAAGAGAAAAAATGGTCCCCAGAAACATTAAATGAGCACTGCAGCTCACTTCCTCCGTTTTTCCCACTGATGGGGAAAGAAAGAAGAACTTGTTTTCGGTAGGGGGCAGGGATGCAGGGAAGGGGTTAGAGTAGGGGGAGAAGCAGTGATGTTATTGGGGAGAGTGAGGTTGTTTGGTGGCCCTAGAGGCCCTCCTACCTGCTTGCTGTCCCACCTGCAGCTCAATCAGAACCTCAGCGACGTGCTGGTCAGCCTGGAGAAGCAGCATGGGAGCAACACCTTCACGGTCAAGGCCCAGCCCAGGTGTGTGATGCTCGCCACTCTTCGGGCTGAGGGTGGGTGTGGGGAGGTGTGAACAAAGGGCCGACTCCTGTTGCTCCCTGACTCGTGCAAAGCTAGGACAATGCTTGTTTTTGTGGCCCCAGAGTTTGGCCTTCTTGTCTTGGCCTCCCTGTGCAGGTAAGGGCACCCCCATTCCCCCTGTGTGTCCCTGAAGCCTGCACATTACCTGAGCCTGGACTCCCTTCCTTATCTGTGAGGCAGGAGCAGCCAGGGCACCTGCACAGCTTTGGGAGGAGGGTGGGGAACTAAGTGATTCACAGGCACAGAGCCTTTGGAAAATGAATGGTCCTCTTAGAGCAGGGGGTGGTGCCACCTTTTCCCTGTCCTGCTCCCGGGAAGCCTAAGTCCCAGGATGGTGGCATTCTGCACACCCGAAAAGGTGTCCATGTTCCTGCCCTCAGCCCAGCCCTGGTCGCCTTTTGCCTCACCTCCCAGGAGATTCCTGTTTCCTTAGGGGAAAACGCGAAGGAGGAGGGATGGGTCTTGCCCTCTGGCTATGGCTTATGGGAAACAAGCAAGTCTGAGATTCTCCTTCCTTTCTGGCCATCTCAGCACAGTGTGGGGACCACAGGGAACCTTGCTTTCCGTCTATGAAATGGGGTGATTGTATATGCTTTTTGGGGTGAGGGAGGTATTACTTAGGACTAAGAAGATATTCAGTGATTATTTTTGCCCCTTTTCTCTCCTGAAAATAAAATACATGTGATGCAGAGGGTCCCACAGGGTGCCTGGGGCTGAGGAGCAAGCTGGGTGGGGAGGGTGGTGGCGGTGGGGAGAGTAAAGGCCCAGGGGCAGTTTCCCAGATCACTGCAGGAAGGATTGGCCTCCCTTGAGCTGCTCTGCCTGGTCTGGAAGGTCGGGAGCACCCAGGTTGGGTGAGGAGGGGCAAGTGGTGGCCATCCTGGGTAGTGCAGGCTGCTTAGACTGACATTCTGTAGGAAAGGGGCTGATCTGAGGGGGAAGGGAGGGACGTGGAGGCTTGTGAGCCTCCTTCATTAGGTATCCTGGTTGCCTCCTCTCCCAGGGTCCCATACTGGCCAGCTGACCCCTCTCTTTCCTGGCATTCTGGGCCCCTGGTGCTGCTATGGGCTGGACCATGGGCATTGCAGTGGCCAGTGTGAGCCTCCTGCACCCCTGTGTTAGAGTAGCCTCCTCTTCTGCTTGTTTTGTCAGCACCACCCCAGGGCACCTGACACCATGCTGAGGCCAGTGGGGCCCCTGAGACTGTATGATGGGGGGCCGAGGGGGAAGTTAAGCCCTCATCAAGGCCTCTGGGTGTTAGGGGAGTCTTTTTCCCTTTGTGTAACCCCTTTGTGAGGGGTTGCTGATGAAGGAAGGGGACAGGCCAGCCCGACATCCAGCTTTCCCCCAAAATGAAGGCCTCTGCGTCCCATCCTCACAGAAAGAAAACTAAACTGTTCTCCCGGCTGCGCAGGAAGAAGAACAGGTACCGGCAGTGAGTGCTGCATTGTGGGGCGTCCGAGGCCAGCACGCTGGCCGGTGGCCCCAGTGCATGCGCCTAGCGCCCTTCTCTGAGGGCACCACTAACCCCTAACCTGCCTTCTTGTGTGTGGTGCTGCCCGGCAGGCCGGGCCTGCGCTGTGTCGTGTGTGCTGCAGGACAGGGCAGAGGGCTCGTCGGGCGGGAATGCTGTGCAGACAGCCGGAGCTCAGGTTAGCGCCTTCCTCTCTGCATTGCTGAGCGTCCACTGGCTGCGGCCTGGACCAGGAGCATCAACAGATGGAGAATGGCACCAAAAAGGAGGCCTGAGGAGACTTGGGGAGGGCTGCTGAGGCACGGTGGTGTTTTTAAAATGACATGTGCATGTGTCCTGTACTTAAATTCTTTAAGGAGGCAAATACAACCCATGAAACACAAGTTTAGGAAAGATGAGAAGGTACCAGTAATGTCTCTCTCATGTCTGTCTCATCATCTAGATACTCCCTCCCCCAGGTGACGTGGTTACCAGTTTCTTTTGTGTCCTTCTAGACCTTCCCTGTCCATCACTGTGGCCACTGGCCTCATATGGCTGGCCAGCACTTGGACTGCGGCCGGTGTGACTGAGGAGTTGAATTTTTAACTTTATTTAATTTAAATATAAATGTAAACAGCCACCTACGGCTAATGGCTAGTCTTGGTCAGCACTGTGTGTAAGTACGAATATAAGTATTTATTTTTTGCCCCCTTTGCACCCAAGTGAAGGTTCATGCACATGTTTGCCCTGGTTTTCGGTACTGAACGATATGGCTTAGAGACCTTGCCCTCTCACCCCCAGCAAATCCTCTGTCAGGGCACCGCCTTTACTCACCTACCTGCCCATGGCCTCTGGGTGGCTTCCCGTGTTTTCCCAGAAGGGCCTGTGGGAGCAAAGGTTCAGACATAGTGATGGCATCATGTGGGTGGGAGTGTGTGTGGGTAGCAGGCTGTGCTTGGCATTTTGGTGTGAGTGAGTAGACAGGCAGGGAGGCAGCCAAGAGGCATTGGGGGTCAGGCTGAGATGGGGGCTGCTGTGTGGTGTGAGGAATGAGACTCACGTTGCCTCTAGGACGTTTTGCTTTCTCCTGCTGGGGAGTTCGGACTCTCATACAGGGCTAGCCTGATGCAGGCCTGTGGGGCAGCTGGGCTACCTCTGGTGGTGGCTCCCAGAGTCCTGCTCCCCTCCCCTGGGGACTGCAGGCCTCCAGCTTGGAGTTCCTCCATGTGCTGTCACTGTCTCCAAGCCAGGCCCCTGCTGCCAGAGCATGCAGTCTCATTTCCACCCATTCTCATGTACAAGATCACAGTTTCACACAGGAACATTGCATTTTCACAGTGAATCTTTGTGGATACACTTTGGAAGAAAACATCCTCAGTTTCGCACACTGATCTGCATGCTCATACATATGTACACACATGTTTCCACACATGGAACCAAAAGCATCTGCTCGTGCACATGCCCCATCACACGCATACCTGCGGATTTGCACATCCTATCTCAGAGGCCATGACCTTTCCCCACTGGGCTCCTTCTTGTCTTGCCTCCACAGTGACAACACCCCTGCAAAAGAGAACAAGAGCCCTTCACCTCCACCAGATGGTTCTCCTGCTGCCACCCCTGAGATCAGAGTCAACCATGAGCCTGAACCAGCCAGCGCTGCCACCCCTGGGGCCGCCCTCCCCAAATCCCCATCTCAGGTAGGCACTGTGTCTCTGTGACCGATCCCCTCTCCTCCTTGCTCTTCCTCCTGCTTTGCTGTCATCTACCTATCCCTCCCATTTCTAGTCCTCTATTTCCTTCCTGGGGTTTTGCCCAATGGGGGCTGAGCCTGAACATCGGTCTCCCTCGGGCCCTGCTGGACACAGGCTCTCCTCAATGGCCCTGGGCCCTTTCAGGGACATCTGTGACTGCCTGTTTCCTCCTCAAGTGTCCCCCTGCCCCGCTGCAGTACCCTCTCTTTCTTCTCTCCCTGGCTTTTGGGAGGCTCGACTTCCTCCATCTTCCTTTCCAACTGAGGCGCAGGCTCGGCCCCTAACACCGGAATGTCCAGGTCTGTGGAGGCAACTGCCTTCTCTGTCCTCACCTTCTTCCTCCTGCTTGGAACTGCCACGAAGGACCTTTAGAGGGACAGCATGAGAAAGGGCTCAGTGAGGGGACTGTGTAGTGGCGAAGGGGGACAGGCCTTGGGCTTCTGGTCCGGCCCCTCTGGAGCGTCTGGCCTCCACCCCCACGAGGTTTCTCTGCATTTCTGCAGTGTCTCTGGTTGAGCCTTGTTAGGCTGTCCCCCATGCCCTTTCACTCCTGGCAGCAGCAATTTTGGTTTTAGGCCATCACTCAGCCGATTAGGATAAAGATGTTAAGAATGGTGATGAGAGCCCACATTTGAACAGCACTTACTCTGGGCCAGACGCTGTGCCAGCACTTTTCACGTTTTCATTCATTAAATCCTCACAACTACCTTGTGAGGCAGATGCTTTTTTTAATCACCCCAGAGTGACAAATGAGGAAACCCAGGCTTTGGGGTGGGTGGGGGGTTGTGTGACTTGCCTGAGGTCCCCCCCAAGTGTGCAGGTGTGTGATCTCCTTCCCTAGGCCTCCTCTGGGCCCTGGCTCTGGGCTGGTCTCCACAGGTCACTGCAGAGGTCAAGCTGGAGCTTGTCCGGTGGAATGTGGAGAGGGGCCTAGGTGTGCAGGAGAGTGGGTGCCCGGGCTGTGTCTCAGCTACTGTTTCTCTCTGTCTTCTTACCATGTGGCGAGCCCTCCTACTGCCACTGCCTTATTCTTCCCTCCTCCTTTCTCTTCTCACACCTCTTTCCTCACCTATCCTTCCTCTCCTCTCCTGTTTCTTCGTTCTGTACAGTGTTTCTGGACCTCCTGCCTTGGTCTCCTTTCTGGGGTGGTCATGGTCCTGGTGTGTGTGACTTGGGGAGCAGTGACACTTCTTGCTTCATCTTCCTCAGTGGGGCCATGGCCTGGGGTGTGACTAACCATGGCTTTGTCTCTGTCTCCCCCCAACCTTCCCGCTCTGCTGTGCCTCCCTGTGTGGCCCCTTACCCGTGGCCGACCCACAGCTCCGGAAAGGCCCACCAGTCCCTCCGCCTCCCAAACACACCCCATCCAAGGAAGTCAAGCAGGAGCAGATCCTCAGCCTGTTTGATGACACGTTTGTCCCTGAGATCAGCGTGACCACCCCCTCCCAGGTCAGCCGCGGCCGCCGCGGCCCAGCTCTCCCCCTCTCCTGCTCTCTTGGGGCGTGCATGGCCTTCGCCTCCATTCCATGCCCTGTGCCTCTGCCTTGAAAGCCAGGAATCTGGCCAGAGAGACCGGCCTGGAGCCTCCTTCTCATTCATTTGTCTATCCCTTCATCCATCATCCCTCATCCATCCTTGAGCATGTACTGTGGCCACTCACAGGGACATAGGTTAATGGTCCTATTGGAGATAGACAGCTCAGCAATGGCCTCAAGGTTGCATCGATGCTGTGGCCAAAAGTGTTGGGGAGCATGGAGGACCTGGGCCAGTAAGGGAAGGCTTCCCAGAACAGGTGACGTTTGCCAGGTGGCTGCAAGTAGAGAGCAGCTTGTGCATAGGCCAGGAGGCCTGAGAGATGGGCTCAGAACTTCTAGAGTTCGATGTGCTCATAAATGCCCTAAGAAGGCATGTGATGTCCATTCACAGATGGACAAAAGGAGGGCTGAGCAGGGAAGGTCACTGTGATAGCACTGGAGCAGGCTGTACACTATTAAATCAGCTTGCAGAGGCTGTAGTGTGGTCACTGCTCTAAGTCTGGTTTCCAGGCCTTCCAGTCAGGTCCTTTCCATGCAGGGCCTGGCCTCTTGTGCAGGCGACTAATCCCAGGCTATAGTGGGCCTGTGCTGGCAAGCTGCGTGGAGTCGCCCTGCCTGGAGTGCTGTAGGCCAAGCTCAGAAGTCTGGAGGGGAGGGGAAGGGCTGGAAGGTGTGAGTGGAGGGAGAGGCAGTTGGGAGCTGAGGACAGTGGTTGCTACGAGGGGCCTCAGGACAAGTGGGCTTCTAGCCCCCAGGAGAGGACTTTGGGTTAGAAGTAGGAACTTTCAATACAGGGCACTAGGGGGTGGGGGAGTGGGGCTCTGGCTCAGGAGGCTGGTAGGCGTGGGAGCCCCCATCTGCAGAAGGTTGCTGAGGCTAGTCCGGGGGTGCTCCTGGAGTGGTCAGGAAACGGACGGCGAGACCTCCAGGACAGCGTGCTGCTGGGATGCTCGCAGCTTGAGCATGCCTCTGCCCTGGGTGACCGAGTGCTAGTGAACCCTGGGCAGGGAGTGGTGCCAGCACTTACCTACATGGCCTTGTTCAGTTTCCAACCGCTCTCCAGCATGTAACAGGTGAGGGGCCTGCGGGCCTGACCTACAGGCAGACTGTCTGCCCCGAGCATGTCCATCTCCATGCTCACAGTGCGCTGCCTTTGCTGCCCCCTCTGCCCACTGCAGGGAGCTGGGTCTCTGCCCAGTGGGAGTGGGGAGTGTACACTGTGGGTGCTGCTACCTGGGGCTGGGGTAGGCTGTTCCCTGTCTGTGAAGCTGTTCTGGCATGTCTTTTCTGCTGTGGTGAGTAGCCTGCATCCCTCTACTGAGGTCATCCAGTCCTGTGTGGTGGGGAGGCTAGCCTGCTGGAAGGTGGGGCACGGAGGGTGTGGTCTGCCCTTTGGCGTGGTGACCACGTCTCCTTGGAGTATGAGGGGCAGCTATCTTGGCCTGGTTGACTTCTGAGAAGGGGCAGGCGGTGGGGCTACTTAAGGATGAGAGATACTGCCAGCCAGCTGGTGGGAGAGCACCTAGAGGCTGTACACCTCGGGTGCCCTGAGTTTGCATTCCCTTAGAGGTGGCAGGGTTATGGGGACAGAGCAGTGAGTTTTCTTTCCCAGGCTCATCCGACAGGGCTTGACCTAAAAGGAAAGTCAGTGGCTGGGGTGAGCCTGGGGTGTGGGCTCAGGGACCAGGGCCCCCTATCCAGGAAATGAGTCCATGTGGACTGGGCTCTCTGAGCTCTGTGGCTTGGCCCCGCATGGATGCCTCATCCTTTAAGCTGTGTAACGGCTGGCACCAAGTGTTCTCAGAACTAAGGGTCTTCTACGGCCATGCTACCCTGAACATGCCCAATCTCATCTGATCTCGGAAGCTAAGCAGGGTCAGGCCTGGTTAGTACTTGTATGGGAGACCACCTTGGAATACCAGGTGCTGTAGGTATAAAAAAAAAAGAACTGAGGGTCTTAGGTTTCCCGACAGGCTGCATCTCAGCTGTACAAGCCCCTCTGGGGCGCTCCTCTGCCTTCTTCCAGGTCTCTGGTCCTTAATGGAGGGTCTTGGGGGGATGAAGGCTTGAGGGCCCATCAAGAGCAGGTAGAGCTGGGCTGGCCTGGGCTCCTGGGGGCCGCGGTCCTCCCAGTCTTACATGAGGGTGGGAAAGGAGAACTCAAGGCTGAGTCAGTAGCCAGCTCCCTTTCCTCTCCTCTCAGACCTGGGCAAAGTCCTCCCTGGCCCCAAAGGGGGAATCCCACAAACCATGTGGAGGCCACAGCTGAGCAAGCCCCTCCTGGGAGGGCAGCATGTCCTCTGGGCGCTGGTGCTGATCTGGCTCTCCTCCACAGGCAGCTCTGGGGAAGGCTCCTTTTCTCCTACAATTGTGGGGCCCAGCTTAGGATGGGGCTGGCTCACTCAGCATGAGCGGGGCCACCAGGTCCCAGTCTCCCAAGGTTTTGCCTGTCATAGGCACGTTCCTGAGCTGTACCCAGATCCACTGAATGGGAATTTGGAGGGTGGCTGGGTGGGATCTTTAATTTAAATACAGGTTTCACAGATGTTGGGGATCCCACCTTTACAATTAGGCTCCTGAGCAGTGTGGCTGGCTCAGCCCTGTCCTTGCTCCCTGGAGCTGGCGGAGGGGGTGCGGGGGGTGTCACCACAGGGTGACCTGTCTGTATGGGGCAGCTAGGGGAGGCCAGTGCCTGTCCTAGGGGCCCTCTGGGTCAGACCAAGTGTGGTCTTACTCAGCCTTGTCTGTGGCTTGTGCTGCTTCTGGGAGGTGCGGCGAGGCCTTGGAGTTTGTGGTGCAGGGAGCCAAAAGAGGCTTAGGCACCAGGAGGCCTCTGCCAGCCTGCAGGAAGGAGGCAGATGAGAGAGCCGGGGGCTTGGTGTTGGTCTGACCAGTAGTTGGCCTACTGCTGATGACTGGGGCAGTGCCATGTTTGTGTGCGTGGGAGTGTGAGCTAGGGTGTCTGGCACAGATGGCCCTGCTTTGTGTGTGCGGTGGATGTGTTGCTGATCGTGAGTGCCTGCTGCGTGGGCCTATGTCAAGTGCTTTCTGCCTGTCACTAACTGCCTTCCTCCTCTGTCTCTGCTGCCAAGTTTGAGGCCCCAGGGCCTTTCTCGGAGCAGGCTAGTCTGCTGGACCTGGATTTTGACCCCCTCCCACCTGTGGCAAGCCCTGTGAAGGCGCCCACACCCTCTGGTCAGGTTGGTCTGAGTCCACCACCACCCACGGGCCCACTGGCCTCCGGGCCACTGGGCTCTGGCCTCGTGTCTGCCCACTGGCCATGTAGGCCCAGGTATCCCTGGGCCTTTGGGAGTCCTGGGGTCACCGGGCTCTTACTTACACTCTGGCCTCCGGCTCTTGTCACCTCTTCCGGTCCTGACCATGAGGAAAGGGAGAGCAAACAGAGGCTGGAGAGAGGACCCTTGGGAGGAGGGTCAGCTGAACACTTAACTGGCAATGTACAGTCCATCTTAGCACTCTGCCCCGCTCCTGTCAGCAGCCCTGTATTTGGGCCCTCTCTGGCCTGTGGTTGCAGCCTCCTCAGAGCTGTCTAGGACTCAGCCCTCTGGGGACCTCTGAGCCTGACTCTGTTCTGCCCTGTGCCTGCTGGGCTCTAGGGTCCTGGGTGGGCATAGGGTGGGGGTCACTGGGGACTGCTTGCCCGCCCCTGTCTCTAACTTCTGTGCTAACTCTGTCCTTCTCCCTCTGCTATGCTCAGCCAATCCCATGGGACCTCTGGGAGGTAAGCTGTGTTTTCTCTGTGCCTGCCCCCAGGGGTGCTGGGACCACCCTCCTAGTCCTAACCTAAACTGTTCACAGGTGTACGCACAGCTGTGCTCTCCTGCATAGGGGGCTGACTGCAGCTGCCTTTCTCCAGTGGTTCTACTGCTTTCTGTCTGTAGAGGCATCGTGCCCATAGCCAGGCCCTGTAGGAAAAGGGCTCCTTAGTTTAGCCTGAGAAGGTAGTCCTCTGTGGTGTGGTCCAGTCGTCAGGGCCTGTGAGTGGCCTTAGACAGTGATCAGCTGGTCACCCAGGATGGACATGGTGTTCTCAGGCTGTGCTGAGGTCTACAGGCAGGAGGGCCTGGGGTGGAGGGTCCTTACCCTTGAGGAGCTTTCTGTTTGTGGGGGCCCCACAAGGCAGTGGCATCAGGGGGCTGCTGGGACAGAGGAGGAAGAGAGGGAAAGCAAGCTGAGGCCAGGTGCCCTTATATGAGCAGGACCTCCTGGGAAGGTGTCTTCATAACCTAGTGTCTGGGGTGTGTAGGCTCAGGGAGGGCATGGGACTTGCCCAGTAACTGGGGACAGCTCCTGCAGGAGCAGGGGGCTGATGTGAAGGTGCTGGCAGCTACAGAATCGTGTTTCGCTCTGGGAAAGGCCCGTTTGTGCGAGCGGGCAGAGTCGTTTTGACAAGCAGATTTCAGTGGGTGCTGAGCTATGTGCCGCACGTTCACACTACCCTTTTGGCAGTGGCAGGAGCAAGGAGATGGGAGTAGGTGTCCCTTCAGGAGTCTGAGTCTGTTTCTTGCTGGGCTCTGGTCAGACTACCTGCCGCAGGCACTACCCTCTGCTCTGCCAACACTGGTGGCTCATGCCTGTCTTCTGTCTCGTGCCCTTCCCAACACCTTTTTCTTCCTTGCCTCCCGCCCTCCCACTCTGTCTCCCTGGTGGCCGTCACCAGCCCACAGAGAGTCCAGCTGGCAGCTTGCCTTCCAGGGAGCCCAGTGCTACCGAGGGCACCTTTGCCGTGGCCTGGCCCAGCCAGACAGCCGAGCCAGGTCCTGCCCAAGTAAGTGCCAGCCAACCTGTCCCTGGTGTCTGCGGGTGTAGCATGGAGGGAGGACCAAGAGGAGATAACACAAGATGGACAAGGCCACTGTGGGCCTGAGGGCCAGGCCAGGGCCATGTGCCAGGAGGCCCCAAGATAGGACATGTCACTTGTGCTATGGGCAGCTGCGGTCAGATCAGCTCTTCTCCCCTCAGCACCCTGAACCCAGCCTCCCAGCTTAGGCTTCCCACAGTGGGAGGGAGGAAAACTTAGAGCACCCGCTGGTTTGTAGTAGGAACTTTCCAGAACTTTTTCATTTAATCTTCACCCTACACTAGGCATCTCCTCCTTTTACAGATGAGGAAATCGGGGCTAGGAAAGTTGAGGGGTTGCTCCCAGAGCTCGGAAGTGGCTGAGTCTGAGTGCTGGCCCAAGTCAGCCTGATTGCAGCCAGGTTGTGTCAACTTTGCCTTGCCTGGGCCCCCACCATGGTTCCCATCCTGTGCTTCGTTCTTTTCTGGGAACAACCTGTGAGGTGCAGGCTGGCCAGGCAGGTTCGAGGGAGCTGAAGCTGGGCCAGCTCTTTGGGCTTAGGGGTGGGGCCTGTGAGGGAGAGTCAGGAGTGGTACCCAGGGGCCTTTGCTGGGTTTTTGCTGCATGTCTCTCGGCAACCTCTTCGTGCCTGCTAGCACCTTCTCCAGCTCTTCCTCATGCCCAGGACCCCACCCTTCCTTCGGGAGCTCGCCATACTGTGCAGAGAGACTGGCCAACTCTGGATGCCACTTGGGTGCTTGTCCTGGTGGCGGTGCCCCGTCCTGTGTCTGACCCCATGCCGGCATTTATGTTGCAGCCAACAGAGGCCTCAGAGGTGGCGGGTGGGACCCAACCTGCGGCTGGAGCCCAGGAGCCTGGGGAGACGGCAGCAAGTGAAGCAGCCTCCGTAAGACACAGGGACCAGGGCCCTGTCTTTCTTTCCTGCTGTCTGTTTGTCCATCTGTATGCCCACCCACCTGTGGCTCCCAGCCCTGTATCTTGCCTGTTCTCCTTGCTCTGTCCAGGTCATAGTTCCTGTCCAGGAGACTGGAGGCAGGCTGGGCTGTCATCAGGCTCAGACATCCCTTTTCCCTGCCTGTTGCCCTGGCTCTTCCGGGACCACCTCCTGCTCATGCTGACCTGTGCTCCCTCCCTAGAGCTCTCTGCCTGCTGTTGTGGTGGAGACCTTCCCAGCAGCTGTGAATGGCACTGTGGAGGGAGGCAGCGGGGCTGCACGCTCGGATCTGCCCCCGGGGTTCATGTTCAAGGTAAGCCCAGGGTACTGACCCCACAGTCTGATTGCCACTATCTGATAGTGCCCTGGAGGTGGGATACCCCCTTCACAAATCAAGCCCTGGGGGCTATGTGCTTGGCCCAAAGTCGTCCTACCCTTATATCCCCTGCTACAGTCGGTGAGGTGGTGTCAGCCCTGGTCCCACCACTTTAACAAGCTCCTGGTCACCGTGTTGCCTCATCACACCAAAGCTGCTATGAGGCCTGGTGCCTTGTATAGGGTTGCAGCGGAGACCAAGGGCTTTTGAGGGAAGGACGTCGAGCTTTCTCTCAACTTCTGCAGGTGCAGGCCCAGCACGACTACACGGCCACCGACACAGATGAGCTGCAGCTCAAGGCTGGGGACGTGGTGCTGGTGATCCCCTTCCAGAATCCAGAAGAACAGGTGAAGCCTGGGTTTGGGCTGGGGCCTGCTGTCCTTTTCTCTCATCATTCATTGTTCTCCTCCCTTCTGCCCTTCCTCCCTTCCTTCTATCCATTCCCTTTCCTTTTTCTTTGGCCTATCTCCTGTGTTGTCACGTTTCCCCCTCTATTGGTGTCTCCCTGTCTGTATCTCCCCTCTCTCTTCACTTTCTTTTTTTCTCGAACTCTGTCTGCTTCCTTCTTCCTGCTTTCTCCTTTCCTCAGGCTCTATCTGACTTTTCCCCAGCTTTCTGCATCTGTTTTTTCCTCCACTTCTCCCTTCCCTGCCTGGAAGCCTCCCTCCTTCCAGGACAGGATCCTTGCCTGCCCTTCCATGAGCTGTCCCACCCTGGTCACTGCTGCCAAGGCACCCGCTCTATGACTCATGTTGGGCCCCCGTTGTCCCCGCATGCTGCCCCTCCAGGCTGGCCCTTCACCCATTCACACAGGACCCACAGGGACAGTGCGTGGTATCAGCAGGACCCCTGAGCACCCTCGCCATGCCCCCAGCTGTTTCTCACCCCAGATGCCTCCTGGAACCTTCTCTTCCTGCTGTGGCCTCTCCTCGTTAGTTCATCTCTTCAGAGCGGGCCCCCTCGGGGCCTAGGGCTGGCACAGAGTGAGGCAGAACTGTTTCCTAGGTTGAGACAGGCTGCTTCGTGCAGGCAGCTGTGGCCCTTCAGTAGGAATCTCACTGTGGGTATCGAGTGAGTCTTTGTGGGATGTCGGTGGTGGGATTGGGGTGCTCATGTTGATATCCAGGTGACATCCACAGTGCATAGCGGTCCTGGTTAGACTCTGACCCACTTAGTCATCAACAGGTCTATGTGGTTTAGTTGTCAGGGGAGGAGGGCTGGGTTTAGGATGAGGCCAACATGGCTGGGGGTCCTGGGTTGGGACTGAGGCTACCAGGTGGTTACTAAGGCTACACTGGGCTGCGATGTTTGAGTAACAAAGATTTCCTGGGCCTGGAGCTAATTCGGCCAGTTCTCTTAAATCTTCAGGTCTCCCTTGATCTCCCTAGCGGGCCAGTCCTGAGTTGGGTGGGATTTTCTGAACCAGAATCCTAGCCCCTGGCCCACAGTGGGGGTCATCTAGGATGGCTGGAAGTGGCTCAGATAGCACATACGTAGGGCCTGTGACGAGGCATGTAATGATGCAGAATGAAACAACAAAGACCTAGGTGGGTCTCAGGCATAGCCCAGTTGCCAGGATAGCAATGGCCTCACCCAGAGGCCAGGTGTGCGGCTCTTGCAGGCTCAGGGTCAGAGTCTGGGGCCAGGGAGGTTGTCGTGATCCCTGGGAGGGTCAGGATTAGAGCAAAGGTCCAGTTTGAGTTGGAAGGCTTGGTGGGGTGTCCTCAGATCACTCTAGAAGCCTTTAAGTGGCCAGCATGCAGCAGAACTTTCTGGAATTGTAGAAGTCTGGACAGACAGCTGATGTTTTCTTCAGTGATGTGTCTTCTGTGGGCACCAGATAGTGGGCAGTTCCTCAGCTGGCATTGAGGGAATTGTTCAGACATGTATATACCAGTGCAGCAGTCAGCCTGCCTTTCCAGAGTGAAAAGGACTTGCCGAATCACAAAGAGTTAAATCCACCTGCTGAAGGGCAGAAAGATCCTGCAGTGGCTGGGTTTGGGTCTGGGGAGATTAGCAGGGAATGCTGCCTGGAGGAAGCATTTCTTAAGGGGGGTGTGACCCACTAGGAGGAATGAATAGGTAGAGGAGGAGACTTCCTTCTATTGGGTCCCCAGTGAGATGCATACCTCGTAGGATCCAACTACCCCCCTTCTCCATTCCTCTTCGACTTGGGTGCTCTGCTTCCCCTTCAGGATGAAGGCTGGCTCATGGGCGTGAAGGAGAGCGACTGGAACCAGCACAAGGAGTTGGAGAAATGCCGGGGCGTCTTCCCTGAGAACTTCACTGAGCGGGTTCAGTGAGGGCAGAGGCTGGTGCAGCTCTCTGGGCCTGTGAAGAACACCTTTTCCCGAAAAATGTGTGTGGTTTTTTTTTTCTGTTTTTGTTTTTTAACTTTTGGAAAGCAAAGGGAAATCGAGAGGAGAGACCTAAGCCGAGAGGTATTCTCCCAAAGATTAGGTTGTTTTCCAAAGAGCCTGGTTTCGGCAAGTTCGGTGGAATCACCAGTGTTCCTGAAGCTGCTGTGTCCCCTAGTTGAGTTCCTGGCTGCCCTCAGCCCTGCCCCGCATCCTTTGGGTGTCTGCTGCTGCAGCTGCTAGTGAGCCCGGCCGCAGGGCGGGGCCTGGGGGCCGCAGAGCCACCATGCTTGCCTGAAGCTTTGGCTGAGCCACCCGGGCAAGGGTCCTCCTTTCCTGGCAGCTGCTGTGGGTAGGGTCCAGTCTCTCCAGACACCTCGGGACCCAGACAACCATCTGGCCTGGCCCTGCCTCGCAGACCATCTGTGTGCTGTTTGAAAATAAATCTTAGTGTTCAAAACAAAATGAAACAAAAAAAACTGACAAAAGCACTCAGAAAATGTGCGTTTGTTCATTTTTCTCCCTCCATTTCTGTCTGCTGTGCACTGTAACTGTGATTATCTGTGGCTTTTCTACCAAGACTGTCCACCTCTGCAGGCCCTCTGCCCTGGGCAAATTCTGCTGGGCAGGAGGCTTAGTTCTCGGCAGTCCCCCAGCCAGCTGCATGGCCACCACTTCCTTTTGAGTTTGGCTGGACCCAGAGCCAACAGAGAGCTTCAACCCTTGTCCCTTGGTATTTTTAATGTCGGTTGGGATGCAGATGACAGGGACCAGGTGATGACAAGTAAGACAAGGAGCTCGAAGAGCCTGCTCTGTGCCAAGAAGTCTGGTAGATACTGCCCTAAGTGACATGATATACTACGTATGAGAACTGAGGGGTCAAGTGCCAAGACCCCATTTCACAGATGTGGAAACTGAGGTGCAAGGAGGTTCGGCAGCTTGTAGGTGAGTGGTGGAAAGGGTCTGACCTGAGCAGTTGGCCCAGGCACGTGGGGAAGGCCTGAGCCTGGTGATGGAAGGAGCAAGCTCTGCTGCCTAGCTGCTCCCTCTCCTTGCTGCCAGCCTCATTTTTCCAACATTAGGTGTTACGGGGTGAGCACTGTAGGAAGCTCTCTGTGGGAGGTGGGGAGCCGGCCCTACTGGGACAGCACCCAGAGGCAGGGCAGCTGGGTGCAGTGGTTCTGTTCCAGTGGGCCCGAAGCCTGAGCTGGGCTGAGGGTCTGGGAGCTGGGACACTTCCAGGTTGTGTCTTTCCAAGAGAATTCAGCCTGGCAGCTCACAACTTGTCAGTGCTAATGGCCACTCCCGCCCTGTATCCAAGGCCACAGACTGCACAGTGGCCAGCGTGTCTCAGAAGTCCCCATACTGTCTCAGGGGGAACTCTCCCTGGTCTCTGTCTCCTGCCTGCTCCTGAAATCCTCCACATGCCTTGGACATTGTACAGCCCACTGGCTGGCCTCTTTTCCTCATCCTTGGTTGGGTTTAATAACCACAGCAGCCTTGCTTCTCTTGGTTCCACTGGCCTGGAGACCCCCAGCTCTGCCTCTGGGAATTTAGATGTTCACACCCTAACCCCACCCATCCCCAAACATCAGGTTCTATGCAGACAGATGAGCAAACATTGGATTCATTTGTTCAGCAAGTCTTGGCTGGTGTTAATGGTGTCTGAGGTGGGTGGGTGCTCAGCCTGCAGCTCTTGCCTCTGTCTCTTGGATGTCAGCATCTTTAAGCTGGCTACTCAACGATCCCAAGTTTGATGTCTGCACACTGCATAGTACAGATGAGACTTCCACAGCGGGGTGGCAAACTTCCTTCCCAGAAGACCCCCAGCAAATCTTTCTCTCATTGGCCTGAATTGGGTCAGGTTTCCAGTACTGAAGCAGTTGCTGTGACCAGGGGTTGGACTTCTATATTGGCCCAACACTTAGCAAGGCCTAGAGCTGGAGGCTGGGTTGGGCTAGGCGGGGGAGGGTGGACACCTGAACAAAAAACTATGGCTTTTAAGGAGAAGAGGGTATGGATTCTAGAAGCTATAGTGACTATCCCTCAATAGTGGTTTCCAGAAAGGGCCATGAGACTGGGGAATATGACTGGGTGACTATAAGTAGGTCCGTGTGTGACTATGTATTGGGAGTGTAAGTGTGTGTACTCTATCAAGTCTATCTAAGGCTGACCTCAAAGTCAGTGGGTGACCAAGGAACATAAACTATGTGCATCTGTCCCTCCATGTTTCTGGAGGAATATTCATCTGACCTCCCTGCCCCGTTCTGCCTCCGTGTCCCAGAACTCATCTCACCACTGGTTCCAGTATAGACAGTATGTGGTCTTCCTTAGCTATTTGGAGACTTGTGGCAGGGGATGCACCTGTGTCTGTATAAATTCAGTCTCGTGAACATTCACTCACTCACTCACTCGCTCATTTTTCACATAGGCACTGAGATTACAGAGATTAAAATGTGGTTGCTACCCCTAATGCCCTAACAGTTTGGGGAAAAGCAGACAAAAATAGGCAAGAAAGAGCAGCAGCTGTCATGGTGGTGTGTTCAAGGTCTGGAGACAAAAAGGAGCCACCACCCTGGCTTCTCATGGGAAGAGGTGTCTGCTGCCTTTAGAGTTAAGGGGAGTCCACTGGAGCTGACGCAAAGAAGACCCATCTCAAGCAGAGAGAAACAAGTCTTTCCAGGAGGCCCGTAGGGGTTCCAGCTTCTGCTGGGGATCCTGGAGCATAGGGGAGAGGTCAGGGCTGAGGGCCAACTAGGTGGAGATTGAGGCCTGGGAAGAGATGAAGACACCTGGGGAGAGCTGGCAGTGAAGGAGGGAAGAGTGCCCAGGGGGTGGCCTGACTGCCAACATCAAGAGGTGGGAGGAAGAAGAGGTTTTGTGCCCACCTAATATTCACCTGCTCCTCCTCCTTAACTGAACTCCGATTGGGTGGCTCTGGGTGGCTTTATGACACAGTGTTAGTCAATGAGATGAGAGAAGGCATCACTTCCTAAATAAAAAAGTCAAAGCCTTCTTAAAGGAAAGCCCCTTGCCCTCTCCCATGCCTGGAATGAGGGCTGGAGGTGCAGCAGCCATCTTGTGACTCTGAAGCTGCATGTATGAGGACAGCCACTCACTGAGGACAGCAGAGTGGAAAGGTGGAGGAATGTCATTAAAAAATCGTATTCATTCCAACCTAACTGCTGTCTCATGACATCTTTTTGTGTGTGAAACATGTAAGCCCATCATAATTGTGGGGGTTTCTGTTCCTGGTTGCTCTGTGTTCTTATGTTTGTCATCAAGTTCTCTGACTGACTCTTAAAGAATTCTGAGTTGTTTCTCCCCTCCCTTGCTTTCTCCTAGTTCAGGCCTTATCACCTCCCCCTGCACAAATGTGATAGTGTCCTGGTGGGCCTCACGGCCTCTGCGTCCTTTTGCTCTGGTCCATCCCTGGAGTGCACTGTGGCTGTCAAGTGTCTTCTTTAGAGAAGGGCTCCCTCCTTGGAAGTTCATGTCTGACCACGTTACTCCTGCAGTTTATTCCAATGCTAGCCCGAACCCTTTACCCAGACCCTTCGGGATCTGGTCCCTGACCATCTCTCTGGTCCATATTCCTCCACTCCCTGATCTGAGTTTACTGTCCCAGTGATGAAGCTGAGCCACATGCCCTCTTCCCTCTGCCAACTTCCCTCTGCTGTGTCGTGGCCAGGCATTCCGCAGAGGTGCCCCTTCTTGTTGCCTGCTGATGCCCGCTCTCCTTTAGAACCTGGGTGCCCAGTCCCAGCGTTGGTTCCTTCCTCTGACTCACCCTCATCTGTCCATCCATCTGTCAAGCACTTGTCAAGCTGCATGTAGAGGATTGAGCTGCCCACTCTTCTGACCCTTGCCTGTGTGAGCCAGGTCAGAGTCCAGGCTCGGGGTGCTCTAGAATGTTGGGCTTCATCACACTCTGCTCGGTTCCTGCCACGTGGCCACCACTGCTTATTCCAGAGGCCACAGGGCATTGTTTATAAAAAGTAAAATAAATGAGTCATAATCTCATCATCCCAACCTAGTAACTTATTTCACTTTTTGTCCATGTTGGACTGTAGTTTTTAAAAAACTCAAGGGCGACTGGTGTTTCTCCTGGTCGCATTTTATCTGGTTAGATTTGACCCAACAGCTGAGACTTGTCAGCACTCTGTAGGCTAGCCATTCATCCAAGTGAACATTTATCTTTTAAAATAGTGTGCTGTGTGCATGTGTCCTTATATTCGCAAAAGCTGCAGTTGCTCAGTATATTCTGAATTTCCTCTTTGGGAAGCATCATCAGGCCAGTGGCAACGTTGTTTGAGTGCATCCCATGCTGACAGATTATTATCTTCTGTCAAGGAATTCAATTTTTACGTAATAGGAAGAAAACAATTTTTATTTAAAAGTTGCCTGTGGTTGAAAATAGGAGAAAGCAAAAAATATCTCTAACAGAGTCAAATGTCATTTATTGGGAAAAAAGTACCTAAATGGTCATGTTTGGTTCTGAAAGATGATTCCTCTGCCCCCGTCATAGCCTGGATGGGAGAAGCCAGAGGTGAATTGTTCTGCATGATAAAGTCCTTTTACTTCTACCTGTGGGGAACTGGGAGGTGGATGTGAAGACCCCCAGAATATGAAGTATAGAGAGAGAATGAGGAGAGTCTGGAGGGAGAGGGGCCTGAGGAGATGGCAGTCATCCAGGCCAACGGAGAACTACGCCTGCAGCAAACACCAGATGAGTCTGTAGGACACTGAAGACTAATATTCAGTTTAAGTTGTTTCTAATTCTGTGCTGGGCTGAAAAAAATCCCACCTTTAATCCTAAACCTTTAGTGTGTCAATGTCACTTTGAGGAAATCAAGGAGAAGGAGCTGAGTTCTATGTAGAAGCTGACTCAGGGTGGAAGGGAGAGAGGGTTTGTGAGGAGCAGGAGGACGGAGAGAGTAGTGCATGGGGAAAAATGCCACCTTCCAGCCCAGTGCCCAACAAAGGTCTTCGGAGATAATGGGGTAGAAACTAAAATATGTGGGAAGAGACAGTGAGCCATTTTACCTCAGAGCAAAGGAAAGGGAGATTCCAGAAGGTACAAGGGCACAGGGCACTGATAAGTCTGGGTTGTATTCAGGCATCTGGATGCAGGTGTTAGAGTGGTTAAGAGCTGGGCTCTGGCACTAGGGTCATCTAGCTTTTATGGTGCACCATTGCCTTGGGCCTCAGTTTGTTTCCTATCAAATAGTGGTGACATCACAATTCACAGCGTTGCATGAATTAAGAAGTATCACAGAATATTTTTAAAAGGAAAAATTATACCTATGTATATACTTACATATTATACAAATAGAAAAGCAACACATTTTATTTAATTTATGAGGAACCACTAAGATGCTACAGGCAGATTGAATGAGAACTGGATTTACAGAGCTGCATAGTCTCCCCTGGACAAGATTCATGTGCATCGTCTTGAGCAGGAATCATATGCCTCTCTGTCAGCCCCACATTAGCTAA